TCTCCAGTGGCCTCCGTAGTTACCATCTTAACGGATGGCCTGGCCAGTTTTTTGTACAAAGTTTAATCATAGGGTCTTGAATTTTTTTATCAAGTGTTTTCCATTTTCCTACTTAAAAATTTAACTACAGGAGGGTTGAGGGAAGGCGGGGGAGAAAGGGAGACCCAATTACAAGGATCTACAACAGACAGTTGGGTGAAGGGAAACGTCAGACAGTGTATGACAAAATAATAATTATTTATAAATTATCAAGGGTTCATGAGAGAGGGGAAAAATGAGCTTGATAACAATGGCTCAATTGGATAGCAAATGTTTTGAGAATGATGAGGGAGAAATATACAAATGTGCTTGACACAATGGATGATGTGTGGATTGTGATGAGTTGTATGAGCCTCCAATAAAATGATTTTTTTTTTAAATTTTAACTAAAAGGTTTCTGAAGATACAAAAGGAAATTTCATTAAGCTATACATTTAATGAATTTTCTTTTGGAAAAATAAACTGATTTACAGGAAATCTTCCAGGTAGCCTTGGAAGTCACAGCTGTCTTGAATCATGCCGGCCGTTCATGTACTGAGCTTATCCTGAGCCAGGCACTGCTTGCGTGTCACATTCACTGTGCTCCCTAACAGATTTCCTGTGGGCGCCAGTCGGGCCCTTCAGGCTTTATAGAGATTGGAATACTGAAATCCAAAAAAAGTTAGGGTACTTCCTCAAGCTGGTTAGCGGTTGAGCCTACAGATCCAGCCAGGCTGGCTTAAAATCACCTCTGTAACCAAAGCCATTGCTTTACTGGACTATCAGTAAGTCATTGGCCCCCATAGCCTCTCCAGAGGCAGGTCTGAAATGGGACTGACAGAAAGGGCTCTGGTCTCCATGAGCCCAAGTATATAGAGTGACGCCTAGCTATCGGACCTAATGGGTCAAGTTATCCTCGGTTGTGTGAGCACCACAGTGCCGGCCCACAAGGATAAGCACTATGAGCAGGGCCCCCACCCCTGGTCTCTGGGATTACAGAATTCTTCAAGCAGGGTTCCACTCCTTGCTGATTATTTGCATTTATACTTCACATATACTGAATCCGACTCTAAACAAGTCAGTTTGCCCACTCAAGTTAGAACCAGAGTGTCCTGCAATGGGCAATTTAGCTTGGCAACAGGACAGCCCACCTGAGGGTGAACTTCAGGACTACTGTGACAGGTAAACGCATCTGATGTTCTGCAGTACCTGGCCCTGCTACATCACCAAGGCCAGGCTTGGGAAAAGAGGCAAGGCAGTTTCTTTAAACAATTTGGGTTAAGGAGAGAAAAATGGGCAGTGAGATGGATGAGGATTTCATATAGTTATTCTCATCTGATGACTGTCAAGCTCCAGTCTGACTTACATGCCCTTTAAGGATGCCTTGGGGGTGGACTTTTGTCTAGTAAACTTCACCCCCTTGTCAGGTGGCCCTACGAGGCATTTCCTTTAGAGTTACGGAATATGATGGGGAACCTCACTAACTCGGCTTTTATCTCTGTGTCTCCCCTGTTAGCTGTAGCTTTGGGCCCGTCGGCGTGGTTAGGCAGCTAAGAGAATGGAGGAGAGAGGGCTGTACTGTTGCACACACTCTGATGGGAGGGCAGGCCATTCATTGTGCTCAGCAAGGAGCTATGTTAATAGCCTGAACCTGTACCTCGGCTTGGCAAAGAGAGGTTCCATATCCTGCACCAGGTTTCCTTTGGGCATTGTGAGATCCTGTGAATATGGTGCATCTGTGGGCCACCATTTTGCAACCTAAAGGTGATCCTGCATAGGGTCCATCCCTCCATAGCTTCAGCTTAGAGTGAAGTCTGAGAAATTGTGTTTTTCTTCTCCCTTTCCTAGTTTCATAAATATGCATTAAAGTTCTCTTCACTGATCTCTGAGGGAGACTCAGGCAAGCACTGACCCACCACTACTTACCTTCTGTTCTTGCTTTTTGGTGCTGAGCTCCAAACACACCACCAGCCTCAGCATATTCTAGGGCCCACTCTATGCCTTTGGGGGTAATCTGAAGTCTGTGGCTGGGCTGTTGGATGTCCCCACATAAGTTGGGGGATAAAATACCTGTCACAGAGCACTGGTAACCTGAAGGGGACAATGAGCCTGGGCTCATTGGATAGCTTGAGCCTGTCTTGTCACTGATGTATGACTTTTGCTCTTCTAGGAGGAGTCTTCCTGAAAATGCAGGTCATGAGCCTGATCACACCCATGGCCCTCTTGCCTCTGCTCTGTGGCTGTGTGGGTATCTTCAGCCTTTTCAAGCTGCTGCGGCGGATGCGCATGAAAGCTTGCCTGCAGGACTCTGTCGTGGTCATCACGGGTGCCACCTCGGGGCTCGGCAAAGGTGGGTCCTAAGGGTGCCCCAGCTGAGATGCCCACAGTGGCTGGAAGGGCTTATAAGCGGGACAGCCTGGGTAGTGTGGGGATAGGCAGTACGGCCTGTTCGCTATATAACCGGAAAACAGCAGCAGCTTAAGTGACCTCTAACACTGTCAGTGTTAGAAGACCAGGCAAACAGTGACACCTGGGGGTAATCTGTCCCTCCTAGGGGATCCCCTGCTCAGTTCCAGCGACTATTGAAATGGGATTTCCCCGTGGGAAAAGTCCAATTTTCAAATACAAGTGACTAATCAAAACAGTGCTTTTAACTGTACAAGGGTCAAGCAGACATGGATTTTCCTAGACCTTGCCTGTCTGTCCTGAGTGTGCACTGTTCCCACCCCTTCCATGGGCTTAGACCATGCGGTGACCATTGCCACAGCACAGCCTCAACAGAGTTGTAGACCAAGCAGTGGAACTCAGCTGTTCCTGACAAGGGCTTCAGTGGTGCCGCACTCCAGTAAACATGTGTCCTGGGACCCAGGCCCAATCTAGAGGGCCCATTCATGAGCTGGGCACATCTGTCTTTCTCCCCATACATACTTTGGAGGCATGGTATGTGGGATCCCTGGCCCTTCCACAAATTCACTCACACCCCTCTGCAGCTTGCTGCTGCACTGGAGCTCTGCTCCAGGGACGAAAGGCCAAGAGGCACCTTGGATCACCTGCATAGTAAGACTTTGGGGGTTATTGTTCAGCCCACCATTTCTCATGTCCTGTGTGCCACATGGCAGGACAGACAGATGGCTACGAGGACCCCTTTCCCTGTAAGACTTCTTCTGGTGGAGATGTCTGTCTGTAAGACAGTCTGGTGGAGAAAGGGAGAGACAGGCAGTGTTTTTGTATTGCGGTAACATGGCATATTTATATTGCCATGTTTGGGCACTACATGTTTTACATGTATTAGCTCAGTTTTCACAGCTACGATTCAAAGAAGGCATGACTTCTGATTAGAAAGGGCCTAGCCGAGATGCAACTCCACACCTCTCTGGTTCAAGAGCTCAGTCTTCAGGTCTCAAAGCTGAGTCAGAGCTACTAAGTGAAGGTAGGCTGGTCCAGGAACCAGCAGCAGCCTGATTGTGCCACCACATAACGCTCCAGGGTACATGGCAACAGGGAAGCGTGAGGGAAGGCTTTGGGGAAAGAGGGTCCACAGACATGCCTCTGTGAATGTTAGACAAAGTCGCAGGTGAACGTTGACGGCTTATCAGATCTTGGGACAGCTGTTCTCAGGCTTATGCTACTGGCTGGGCCTTTGACCTCTCTGATCTTGGCCTAGCTTCAGAGTGGGGCCAAGCCCTATGTGATAACTGAGACACTTGGACCACCGTGATTCACTGGCAGCTTTCCCACTGAGGGCGATGAGACCTCAGGGCAAACCCATGTGAGTTGGATTGGAACTGTGCTCCATAGGGTTTTTAATGACTAGTTTTATGGAAGTACATTGCCATGAGGCACTTTATGTAATACTTCAGGGTGAGGATAGACAATGTCTCTTTATGCTTATGCACTTTAATATTCACTAGTTTGCTTTTAGAACATGTTTATAAAAAGGCAAAAATAATGCTTCCATTGTGATTTTTATTAACAAGCCCCCGCAATAGGGGATTAGATTGACCAAGGTGGGCTTCCTCTGACCACAGCCCTTCCCCAGTAGTTTTGACCCCAGAGCTAAGAGGTAACAGGAGGCCTGTACTGACTGAGAGGGAGGCCTGTGGCTAAGCCCAGAGCTGCTCACAGCTATAAGAAAAATCCAGATGGGGAGATAAAATGGAGGAAAAGCCTGGTTTTTACATAGTGGCCATGAACTGTGGCTAATTCACAAGTAACCCCAGAACCTCTGTGATGGATCTTGTGCTTGCCCCACTTACCTTCTGAATCACCCTGCCGTGGTTCTGGTTCTCCTCACTTCTTACCTGGAAATTGCAGGGCCCTCCATTGGCACCCTTCATGATAATTTGTTCTCATTTTTTCCCCCTCCCCAAGCCCTTCCTGTTGGCCCCCCCAACATTCTGTGCAATGGCATCTGCACACGGCCATCCGGTGTTCAGTTATTCCGTATCCACTGCCACAGCACTCTGGCTAAACGAACGAAAGCTGTGTGTCCTTAAGAAGGCCTGTCCTTCTCAGTGCAATGCTCTGTAGTCCCCTCCAGAACCCCACACACACCTGTGCCCCCTGCACTAAATGACCTGGGAAATAGCCTGCTGGTTGCTAGAGTTCAGGCCTTACAGACCAGGTGTGGGAGCCATGGCTACTACCAGGTTGTTGTGGGATCAAGATAATGCCCATAAGAGTGCTCAAGGTTTAACAAAGCCACCATGAGCACAATACTAAGTGCTCAGCCCTGCTCTGCCCTTGGTCTTGTGATGGAGCGTTCTAAGGGTAGCATGAGAACAGCTCTGGCCTGGAGCCATGCTCCAGGAGGCCTTCCGGTCCCTAGAAGGGTTCACACATGACAGCTCTGAAGTACAGTAGGGTCAGCTGCCCCCTATGAGAGAGGGCACACACTTGCTCAGCAGTAAGCATTCTTTTCTTTTAGAATGCGCCAAAGTCTTCCACGCTGCGGGTGCTAAGCTGGTGCTCTGTGGCCGTAACAAGGAAGTCCTGGATGAGCTCACCAGAGGCTTGGCTCCTTCTTGCACCACACAGGTGAGTTAGCAGTCTGGTGCCCCTGGTGGTGCCATCTAGGTTGAAACCCTGGCTACCATTTACTGGCGTTGGGAAGTGTCCTCTGTGGAGTAGCCCTGCACCTCCCACTTGACTAGCTAACCCCGCTCATCTCACTCAGAGTACTCCGTGTTTAATTTCTCTCACGCCTGCCCTTCCTTTGGTTTTCTTTATAATTAAAGAGTCTGTACTTCTGCACCATGAGCCGCTGGAGAGCAGTAACCATGTCTGTCTTATTTCCCGCTGTGTCCCAGTGCCTGGCACGTAGGGAATGTATCAAAACTGTTCTCATTTTTTAAAAAGTGAATTGACTACCTGTCTTAAGCAGGCCACTGCTTTTCAACTGTGGGACAGGGCGCCTCTGCACGCATCCTGTAAGCTCTACCCATGTAAGAGTCCTGTGTTCAGCTGTGTCGCTAACGAGGGTTGTGGCTAGCTCCTGGTGCCTGGATATTTTCTGTCAGAGAAGCTTCCTGGGTTGGGCATGGGCACTGTTCAGCCTTTCACCCATGCTCAGTGGCCACTTCCAGGACCCCTATACCCAGAAGGTAAATTTGGTGTCTGTTGTGTTTGACTGACCAGGTAAAGGTGTATAAGCCGTACGTAGTGGCCTTTGACCTGGCAGACCCCAGTGCCATTGTTGGAGCAGCAGCCAAGATTCTGCAGTGCTTTGGCCATGTGGACATACTGATCAACAATGCTGGGATCAGCTACCGTGGCGCCATCATGGATACCAGCACAGCTGTGGACAAGAGAGTGATGGAGACCAACTACTTTGGCCCAGTTGCTCTAACAAAAGGTAAATTATTTAGGTTTTCTAAAGAGTGGGGAAATCCCTGTTGAGTTCTACTGTTTACTTGGACTCTCTAGCTTAATGCCGTTGTCCCTGCCCTCTACTTTACCCCCAAATGGGTATTGTCCTTAGAACTGGGCTGAATGCTTTTCTGACCATTTATGTACATTGTCTTGTTGCTTTATAGCTCCAAGACTCATTCTCCATAGTGATATTTCCATCTGCACAGTAGTGCCTCCATGCTGTCTTCATATCCAGCAGACTACAGTCGGGGGAGGGGCTGGGACATAAGCTGCTGTAGAAAGGTCTAGGCCTCTGGGCTCTCTCTCCTCCCTGCCTGCAGAATGCTAGGCGTAGGGACTTCAGAGTTCCAGTGGAGCACATTCTCCACACTGAAGGGCTTCATTACTCAGTAAATAGCTCCAGCTGCTTGGTGTCAGGAGCCACGAACCACAGGGAATGACCCTCTAAAGCGTAGCCTTCTTTTCTTAGCACTTCTGCCCTCTATGATTGAGAAGAAACAAGGCCACATTGTCGTGATCAGCAGTATCCAGGGCAAAATCAGCATACCTTTTCGATCGGCCTGTGAGTACTTCCCCCTGGTTCTCGTGTTTGATTGGTTGGTTTGTTTTTTTTCCATCTGATTGTAAAGATCATACATGTTTACTGTCCGGGATTCAAGCACTAAAGGAAGGACACCATACAGAATATGCGCTCCGGAGACAAAACCTGACTGAAAGTCTCAGCTGCTCTCTTCACTCTGTGCAGCCCTGGACCAGTGCCCCCCTCTCTGTACCTCAGGTCTCATTTACAGTGTGGACAGTTCAAATAACCAACTCAGAAGGCATGGGGAAAATGAATGAGCTGTATTATGTGTATTATGAGTAAAGTACGTGGAACCCTACCTACCAGGCCCCTCATATAATCCACAGCTGCGGGTGTTATCAGGAGCACTACATCTTAGCTATAACTAGTTACTACTGTGGACAAACGCCCTCTCCCACATCTAATGAGGAAAAATAGCACTCTGCTTTGTGCTTTGCTCACTCGACCCGTGGCTTCTCAGAGTGGAGCAGCACAGTGGAGCTGACCCACCATTTGGAGCTGAAGGGATATGACCTTTCCTTTGTAGTCATTCCCTACTGGTGACTGCAGGAGGATTTCTTCCATGGGGCCTCTGAGCACAGCGACAGCGCTGTGCTGTGTAGAACCCTCCCTAATGCTTCTTGCTCTGGGCACTCCTACAGGGCTTCAATGACATAAGTTCACAAATGCTCCCTTAGGAAATAGTGGGTCAGACTCAAAACTGAAACTGCCAAATTGATTTCCAGTTCACATTCTCCCCTGCACAACTGAGAGGAGACTTGAGCACGAATTGGGTGAAGTAGCATCATGTCTGTACACCATTGTGCTCACCAGCACGGAGATTCTGGAATTTTGTTTCTGAGATATTGAAGGTAATTACAGAACTTGTCCTGGGAATACGTTTCTTCCATTCTGTGAGGATGCACCAATTTATCACAGCCAAGTCTACTTCCAGATGCTGCTCAGCCCTGCCTGTTGAGGGCCGCAATGACGGTGACTAGCGCTTACTTCCACCCCACTGTAACCCGTCATCTAAACAGGAAATGTGACAATTCCACTGTCTTTCAGGCAGCAGTGCTGGCTCATTCTTTTAGAAGAGCTGTCTGGCCCGTGCCACTGGTGGCACAGTGGCGCAAGCCCGGTGCCAGCCCGGCAGTGCACTGTCAGAGATGCTGCAGTCTGCTCCAGTGAAGAGTGGGGTGCACTCAGCAGCTGTGGGTTGGTTTCAGTTTGGCTTTGCTCCAAGACAGATTTCTTACCTCCCTGCCCATCAGGGTCCTTACTGAGAGGAGATTCAGTTAGTATAACTGCCTCAGATCAGTAAGCTGTAGTGCTCACTGCCCTGTGTGTCTCCATGACTCTGCTCTTTAAAACCAGTAGAACGCCTCATCATTCTCCACAGAGTGGCTGACGGTTATAACTACTACCCCACCAGGCCTCCTCTGGTAACATGTTAGTAGTAAATAAGTCTGGGTCAAAGATAGCAGTGTTTTCTCTACTGTTCACCTAGAAAAGGACCGCTTTCTACTCCCATAATGATTTAGTCTTGGAAACTCGCAGGGGGCAGTTCTACCCTGTCATATAGGATCAGAGTCAGCATCGACTCAATGGCATTGAGTTTGGTTTTGGTTTAGTTCTGTTCATATTCTTTCAGTTTGCCCCGTAAGATTGAAATTATTCTCACACTCCACCTTAATGTAGGCTTCGGCCTGATGCTGCCTGCTGGGTAAGTGTAAAGTGGTGTGCTGGTCAGTGGTTTGGGGAACAATCCATGGAATGCCTATAGCAGTTCGATCTACAGGGCATGACATGACAGTCATCAGCACGACCTAGCCAAGGCCCCACAGCCTAAAAACCCAAAGGAGGACCCCCAAGAGAGCTGCACCTGTGCAATTATGGCCCATAGGAGCCATTTCCTCTCCGTGAGCTAACCTGAGGGCACCATGTCTCAAAGGCTCCACAGCAAGCTCAGAACCCAAGTGGTGCCTCTGGCAACCCCCTACGTCTGTGATCTTTCCCTGTCTATTGTCCTTTGGTTGGTTGGATGCCCCTTCTCAAAGCTAAAGTGATCGTATCCCCGAGTAGCAGGGGGCATTGGTTTCAGATGAGATGACCATTCTGCTCTCCTGGCAGAGTGCTTGCTGTTGAGTGCAGAGGTGGAAGCCCTGGTATTCTGGTCAAGGCTCACACTTGGTAGTCAGAGGAAAGGCACACAGAAAACTGGCTGAGATGCACTCATACCTACAGGGGACTCTGGCAGAACCATTTAGGCAGCAGCTAGACACACTCACGGCAATCAGGACAGCCAGCTCTGACTGGGAAACCAGGCAGCACAGCAGTGTGTGGGTCTTCGGGGGCTGCCTGGAGAGCTGCAGGGGAAACGTGTGGGCTCGTTTCTATAATAAAATACATCTGTGTCAGACACATGCACTTACAAAAAAGTTATCTCACTCGGGAGTAAGATTTGAGTCAGAATTTTCATTTTGTACTATTTGAATGTTTACCTGAGTTAGTTTATTGCGCCAACCTCACCGATAAACACGTGGGCTTAATTGAAGGGTGGAGAGATAAATGCCTCGGTGAGCCTCGCCTCCAGTTCTCAGGTCTCTTGCATTGTGATGGTCGCACCAGGGTGCAACTGCCTTAGCAGTTCCCTGCTTCAGCTGCAAAGCTGACTTCCTGAAAGACATCCCCAAGGAGAAGCCACATGGACCTACCCAGATGCAGCCCTGGGTGCTGGAGCAGCCGTGTAGAGACCCCTGCCAGTGCTGAGATGTTTACACGTTCACTGACTTGGCTTTCCTCCTGCAGTCAGCATCATTGCTTCTGTTTTGCAGTCAGCATCATTGCGAGATGGAGGAGGACTTTGTGGACTGGTGTTGGACCATATGGGTTAATGGATGAATATTGGACTTGTGGGCTTGGGCTTTATGAGTTGGGATGTTTTCTTGATGCACAGTTAACCTTTATATAAAACTTTTTTAATGCTTGAAAATTCAGCACCTACATACCCCCAACTACCTATAAAACTCTTGTACATGAGTTTCTGTGGATTTGTTTCCCTAAAGTACCCAGACTAATACATTACCCAAATCCAAAAGTCCCGTTGCCATTGAGTGAGTCCCCAGCCCATAATTGTTAACAGGACTGCTCCGTGGAGTTTTCCTGGCTGTAATCTTTATACAGAGGCAGAGTGCCAGGGCGCTCTCTCATAGTGCCCCAGGTAAGTTTGAACCAATAACTTTTAATTTAGTAACTGATCACAATCCACTTTTACCACCCAGTGACCTATGCTTTACTGAAACCCACAAAATCGAACCCGTTGCCATTGACTCAATTCCAATTCACAGGGTTCCTGGGGGTATCAATCTTCTGGAGGAGTGGCTAGTGGGTTAGAACTGCCAACCTTTCAGTTAACAGTCTAGTACTTAACAGACACACCTTAGGCATTAAGTTTTGTTGTTAACTTTTAATTTGGAATAATTCCCGAAATTATAGGAGCAGTGCAAAGAACTCCCAATTGTTTTACTTTCCCCCCACCATGAACCATTTGAGAGAAAGATGGAGACAGGAGACACAATAGTATGTTTCCTAAGAGTAAAGACGTGGTGCCATTACAACCAAGAAGGCAGCACCAATTTGCTATAATCTAAGGGGAAGAGTGGGGTTATAGGTTCGAGACCTGTGTCCCACCTCGGAGCACTCACCTCTCTTGGCCACACCCCTTTGCAGATGCAGCCTCCAAGCATGCAACCCAAGCATTCTTCGACTGTCTTCGTGCAGAGATGGAGCAGCATGGAATCGATGTGACTGTGATCAGCCCAAGCTACATTCACACTAACCTCTCCCTAAACGCCATTACTGCGGATGGTTCCAGATATGGAGGTGAGGCCTGCTCCTTCCTGCAAGAACTGTGACACATGCTTGGCTCTTACCTCTAAGTTTTGCTCTATAGATCTTAGTTGCAGAAGGTAACCTTGTTGAGTAACCTTCACTTTCCCACCATGAGCCACCTTTAGCCCAAGCAACATTGATCCAGCTTTTGAAATAGTGTTGAGAGGTAGACAAAAAGCTCTTTAAGCCAAAATGCTTCAAAACTCTCCAGTAATCCATCTCCAGATTCTGTGGTCAAGGAGTATCATTAGGATCAGGATTAAAGTTGATCATCTTCACAAATCAAAGCTTTCTTGACCCAAGAGGTTCCCTGGCCTGTGTGTTGAGAAATGCCTACCTCGGAGCACTAAACAAAAGCTGTCTTCTGGGTGACCTGGGCAAAACCTTTAAGAGCCTCTGCCTTGGCTTCAGAGTAAATCTGCGCTGGTCTGCAGACACCTGGCTCAGCACCCAGGTCCAGAGAGACCAGGAGGTTCCTATGACTCAGATCACAGTGGACCTGTGCATGGCACCACTTTGGTGCTGACTCTGCCCCTTCCTTTGTGTGTCTGCATGCCCCACCATCCCCAGCCTTGTGCCAACCAAGCTTGTGCTCCAAAAAGCCCTGCCTGCGTTTGGCAAGCGCATCTCTCTTAGGTACTTCTCCCCATACTGAATGTTGGCACAGGGCTGTGGGGCAACAAAGGTTCATACAGACTTTTTCAAAATCCCCTCTGGCGGCATGTAAAAATATGTAACCATCAGTGATCCTCTAGTAACAGAGGCAGGTGAGAATAGACATTGGTGAGGCAGCTCAGGCACCAGATTGACACGAGAACTGGTCAGGCTTTGGGGAAAAGCTCAGACCTTTAGGGAAGAAGGCGCATTAGTTATAACCTTGTTTGAGGTGCCAAGAGTTGGCTCCGATTCAGCAACTGCACGACAGAACATGTTGGTTTTGAGCCCATTGTTGCACCACTGTGTCTATCCATTTTGTTGAGGATCTTCCTTCTTTATCGCTGACCCTCTGTTTCATGGAGCACAAGACAGATTTGTCTGTTCTTTGGCAGTCTGCAGTAATGTCTGCATTCTCCAGCTGCCCTTTGAAATTTTCTTTTCAGCTCTTTTACTTTATCATTTCTTCCAATTGTTTTAACTACTTTAGTCGCTTTTCTTAAATGTTTATGATGTTCTTGATCTCATTCAACAACAGCTCGTCAAGTCTTCTGTCCAGTGAGTCAAATATGTTCTCAAAATTTCAGTGGGATATACTCAATGTTATATTTTGGCTCTCGTGGACTTTTTGTTGTTGAAATTGCAACTTGAATTTGCATATGAGAATTGATGATCTGTTCCAATTAGCCCTGGCCTTGCTAATATTGAGCTTCTTCATTGCCTTTGCTCACAGATATTGTCAATTTGATCCCTGTGTATTCTATCTGGCAAAGTCTACGTGTATAGCCACCATTTATATTGTTGATCAGGTATTTGCCATTAAGAAGTTATTAGTCTTGAAATATTCTATCATGATATCTCCAACTTCATTTATATCATCAAGGCCATGTTCTCCAACTATTGTCTTTGGTTCCAACTGCCAATAATTATCAATGCATTTTATTGCATGTTGACCAATTTTAGACTGAAGTTTATAGAATTCAATTCCTTCATCACTAGCTTTACCGGTTGGTGTATGCTTTTGAGTAATAGTTGTATTAACTGTACATTCTTATAGACATATAGCTGTTATTCTGTCACAGTATAATTCAAGATAAATCTCCAAATCTTTTTGACAATTAATGTGATACCATTTTTCTCAATCTATCATTCCTAATGTAGCAAATCATATTCAAAATGGTCGATACCAGTCGGCTTCAGTTCACTATATTAGGATATCAATCTTTAAGCCATTTTTTAAATACTAAAAAAAAATCTTATTGGCCATTTCCAATTTTCCTAGATTCTTGGTATATTCCAGTTTTCCCAGATTCATACTTGATATATAGTCCACATTGTGATTATTAATGGAGGTTTGCAGCTGTTGCTTGTCATTTGGAGTTGTGCCCCGTTAGCAAATGAAGTCCCCCAAACTTTATTCCATCCAAGTCCTTAAAGTCAAAATGAGAGCTGTACCCTCAAAATAGAGTTGACTTTAAGGACTTGGATAGAGTTAAGTGTTTTCCACCAAAGGGGCTCATCTTCTGACACTTCATAAAAATTTTAGTGCAAATACCTGAAAATTTGACAGCCTAGGCTTCCGAGTCAATTCTTAAGCATGGAAGCTCCATTGAAACCTGTTCCCCATGAGTGACCCTGCTGGTATTTGAAATAAAGGGGGCACGACTAGCAGCATCATGTAAGTCACTGGAGTGAGTACAAATGGCAGATGAATGGTGGTTGTTAGTGCCCCCAAACCCCCTCATCTGTCTAACATCTGAAATGAAGCAGGAGTTCTTCCTTGTAATCTAGCCAGTTAACCATGGCATTTGGAACTTAGTTCTCTGTACTCTCCTACATTTTTCATTTTTGCTTTTAGTGAGCTTATATGCACATGTAGGCCCTGATCCCTCCCATTTGGGGGTAGACCTGAAGCCAATGTACTACCCAAAACAGATCAGGTCACACAGTATCCCTAGGGAATAACTGCTCCAATATGTAAAGTTATCTAAGAAAGACCCCCAAACTCCACAGGTGTGGTATGAGGGGCTTCCTCCTAGAGACTCCATGTGGGTTGGCCTTCACCTTTTTCCTTTTTCATAGAACTTCAAGTAGTCAGGTTCTCTGTTGGTTAAAACTGATTCTGGGACTCCCTGGTCTAATTGTCTTGGTCCTTGCCACTGTTAGGAAAGCCCAGGCTCTTCCCTCCCATATTGTGTGATGTGAACTTGATGGGGACTGCAATAGTACACCTGACGGTCCCACCAGCCCACTTCTGTGTTTACATTTTGGTTTTGTTCTGTATATTTTAGTTATGGACACAACCACAGCCCAGGCCAGGAGCCCTACAGAGGTGGCCCGAGATATCCTTGCTGCTGTGGCAAGGAAGAAGAAAGAGGTGATCCTGTCTGACCTGCTCCCTTTTTTGGCCATTTACATTCGAACTCTGACTCCTGGACTCTTCTTTAGCCTCATGGCTTCTAGGGCCCGAAAAGAGCAGAAATCCAAGGACTCCTAATCCTGGCCAGAGATACGGTAGGACGGCTGTACTTTTGGGGGGAATGATTATTCTACAATGGATGTGTCTATGTGTGGGTCTAAGATTTGCCAGTTGGGAAAACATGTCTAGAGACCTCTGGCCAGGTGCCCTATTGGCAGAGAATAGGGACCCAAAACAACAAGGCTTGTTTCCTGTGTAAAGTAAACAAAATGGGTAGTGGCTCTAAAAGCATGAAGTAATGGTTAGAGCAGGCAGGAGCCATAGTCCACTAGGGTCCACAGGACCAAACTCATTTGAGTTTCAGCATCAGCAGATCCTAGAAATGGTCTTGGACATTAACTGGCCCAGTTGTTCTCACCTTTAACTTATGCAAATTGCTTTAGCTGTGAGAAAGGGAGAGTGGATGACCATGAACAACACATCTTGAGCATTCCAGGGCTCCTTGGTTGAACCATGATTGATCTCCATTTTCTATTGTCTACCATTGACTTCCTCGTGTGGAAAGGAGGGGTGGTCATTAAAATTAGAGCCAGCACACACTTCCCTAAAGAGATATCAAAAAAAAGAGATCTCATGTCTGAGTCTGATTTAATAGCAGGTTTTTGATAACACACAGAGACACAGTATCCTGTCCCTGTAGAACACTACTTAGGCATCATGTCCAGGTGCTACTCTTTCCATGAACTGAAGTGGTCAGCAAAGCTGAGGGAATTTCTCAAAAGACAAGAACACCACCTGTTAAGATTGGTGGTTTTAGGAACCATTGCAACAGGTCGCCAAGAACTCTGTTTAAATGTAGTTCACCACCTGGGACATGAGTCTCTCAACCTAGACAGCCCCTCCTCTCTTTCTAACCCACACATGCAATACTGTTGGTATGCTCATTAATTAACACCAACATTCAATTTACTTCCTAAACTTTGTTCAAATTTGATCTACCACACATGGAAAAAACAGAGAAAAGGATATAATGCAAACTGATCAATTGTTAAGTCTAGGTAGAGAAGGCTGGGTGCCAGCAGCTGGATCTGTAGTCTCAACATGTTCGTGAGCACCAGCAGCAAAAAAACCCGACAGCCCAGTGTCCCCACCTGCACTTGCACCACCAGCAGCAAGACCTTGAACTGAGAGCAGGAGGGTTCCTGAACTACTTCCACACTCCTGTCACTCTGACTGACATCAGTTGACAGCATTGCCCAGAGAATTGCCAAAAAGCTTCACTAATAGAGCCCCCTAGGCTTTCTTGCTTATATCTCCACCCGGTCTTTCACTGTCAGGAGATGCTCTGGGGACACAATGTATTGTTCAAACCAGTGTCTGAAACGTGTCACTAGAGGGGTGCTGCTGCGGCACCAGTTTGTCTTTTCTTATCTTGTCTTCATCCTGGTTCTGTCATCCTTAACTGAGAATACTTGAAAACACTGTTTAATTGGTTCTACCTCCAGATGGCAAATTTCAAAGGCCCTTTGCTCTTTGCGTCTCTTGGTGTTTTACTGCCCTGGACAGAAGCTCTGGCATCAAGCCATAGCCAAAGGCTGAGAGACAAGACCATTTGTTTTCCAGATTCACAATTGTCCACCTGTGCTCTTAAGAGTGGATGGCATATGACACTGATAGTTGGAAGGACCAGCAGATGTAGACACGAGAGCCAGAGACTGCCAGGGGCAGAGCAAGGCCTGGAAAGTGGCTCAGGTCAGAGTGCCTGCCCATACCTCTACTTTTCCTGACTAACTGTCCTTTCTCACAGACTCACCCATCTCTAAACTGGGTGTAGGTGAGTGGATGTCTAAAACTGTGTTACATGATCTGTTCCTTGGGAGCGTATCTACAGGCGCCATATGCGAATGTGGTCCCTGCTTTCAGCTCACAATTGTTAGTGTGGTAGCACGTCAGAAATGCCGAGCTGCTCTTGGTAGAATGGTAGTGGAGCCTGGCATCTAAAAGGCAGGAAAGCTCTGCATTGGTGCTTTTCTTAGCATGTAGGCCTGTCCTCTGTTCACCTCATCACCTCATTCTCCCCTCCTCTTGGCGAGGAAGCATCACATGCCATTTCTCTCTGGATTCATATATCCAACAAAAACCACTTTATCCAGGACTGCTGGGAAACACATGGAGCAACACTACTGGCACCTAGTTACTAATTAGGGTGAGGGATTTTGCTCCAAGCACCTCCCAATTTTGGAAGTACCAGGAAAACACCCACCACTCTTGCACTTCAGGCTATAATGCTAGCTCTTAGGCCGCCCCCCAGGGTCCTGGCATTGGCCTTCAACACAGAGAGAGAACCCAAGACCGTTGGCCACCTAGAGTTCTGAGTAGGCATAAACTTAAACTTGATAAATCCTTAGGCATCCAAGGCCCCTTTTTAAAATCTTCCAAAGTTCTGGATCTTCCTGCCAAAGTAGCCCAGTCTCACCCTACCTTATAAGCTCCCCCAGCTAAGAATTCCTCCCTCTTCATCAGACCTTTCTAGTGGGTGAGCTTAAACTAGGTCAGAAATTTCTAAAAAACCAAACAAACCAGTATATAGCTCTTTAAAGGTGACTGAGGAGCAAAGACCTTGGGAAGGTTACGGTTTAAGGTAAAGGGTGTGCGGCCTCTGCAGAAGAGATTGTTCATTCATTGGAGCCTTGGAAAGAGCATGGTAGATAATGCTTAGTACACCTTCCTAGAGGCTGAGCCTCCTCTCAAGAGGAGGGGTTGTTCTCAAAGACAGGGAACATGTACCAGGTGGACTCAGGGTGCACTAGGAACCATTGGTCCTTTAAAGATACTGGTTGTCTCCTAGCCAGAATCTCTAGGGAAGCAGCCCCAGGTGCACCCAAGAGAACCTCAACCTCTAGGGTATACATCCCCCTACCTTGCCTCACTTTGTCCTTGGGGACAACAGGAGAAGGAAGGTCATGGCTTCAGGAAGGCCTTGTTGCCTGGGATCCAGGGCTATCCTTCTTCTTAAAGCCTTCTCTTGTGCGGGTGGAAACTCAAGCTGCCACAAGGAGTAGGGAGGGCAGGCAGGCAGGCCATGGGGCCCTCTCCTCGCATGTGCCCAGAGCAGACTACAAGTAAAGCATGAAGAGAGAAAACACCTGCAATTGAAACACTCATTTTAATGGTCAATAGCTTCTGGTTGGCTCTGGATGGTACAGTTAAACAATATACTTTAGACACCCTTACCCAAAATATGTTCACACCCCTCAGTAGCATTTGCTTCATCAGCATTCCACTGCCCAGTTAGATGTCCACAGCTTCAGACCCCCTTCTTGGGTTATAGAGGTCCACACCTTAGTGTAATGAGCTAAAGAACCTCCTGGTACACCTTGATCGTTATTTTTAAAAAATAACAAATGTTAACCAAATACCTTCCCAGGCTGTGCTGTTTCATCTGAGTACTGTTGTCTCTGGGCTGTTTCGCGTTCTTTCCTTCCCTCCTGAAATCATACAGCACAGAGTTCGTAAATCTTCTTTACACAGTACACCAGCGCAGCGAATGCTATTGTGTTGTGCAGTCTCTTTCTGTGCAAGTCGTCCTTCCGGACCAGCACCACTGGGGTGGAGGAAGTGAGTGTGTGCAGAGGCAGGCGTGACAGTTTGTAGGCATCATACTCCACTTGGTACTTGCAGCAAGGGTCAAACTGCCAAGAGATCCCATACAGGGTACAGCAGGCCAGGCTCAGCACACCAGCTGGCAGGGAGATGTAATGAGAATACTCCAGGGGCAGGGCCAGTGGGGTGCAGAGGCAGGCAGTGCCCGCCAGCACAGCGGTCTTGTGCAGACAGTTGCCCACAGTGATCCAGCGGGCAGTCTCGTCGCCGATGCGTGTGGGCTCGATCACAATATACTTGTACTGTGCTTCCAAGGCCTGCTCCAGCTCGTATTCAAACTGGTCTTGGGCGTTCTCCCCATTGTAGATCTCGTGCACAATGTAGCAGTCTGTAGCAGAGAGGCTCACCCTGGGGCGGAAGGGTGGGCAAGAGCGACATGTCAGACAAGAAGCACTACTACATAGCTTTACTAAATCCTGATCTGAAGGCAACGCACCAATTGGTATTTAACTCCTCTCAACCCAATAAACCTGCCTTTTCCAAAGAGAAGAAAACGGAGGAGGACTGGTCTCAGAGCAGTATGTCCTGCACCGGGGGGTTGGTCACACCCAATCACAGCAGGATGAAAGCTGCTATTGCATTAACCGGGCAAGGAGTCATCTTTGGGGAAAAGACCAGACACCTTGTCCCACACCCCTGCTGTTCCCCAAAAGTCATCCTTAGCCCTCAGAACAAACTGCTTAATCTTGGGTGATGAACTGCTTCTAGCCTTTGTGAGGAGCACACTGGCACCTCACTCTGCTGGAAAGGCCCTCCACGGGGAGAATAAGGTCACCAGCGCCCTAGCCCACAACTAGGATAGAACCAAACTCACTGCCATCCCGACTCATGGTGACCTACTGAACCAGGGTAGAACCGCCCCCTGTGAGTTTCTGAGACTGTAAAAAGCCCTTTCTCCCAGGGAGCAGCTGGTGATTTTTGTACTGTTGATGTTGGGATTGCAGCCCAACATATAACCACTGTCATCAGGGCTCCTTACAACTAAGACAACATCTTGGGATCAAACAAGCACTGAGATAACACACCCTCCCTTTCAAGTAAATTGCCAACTGGTCCCGGCTCCCACAGACCTAAGGAGCAGCCCAATCCTACCAGTGCCATCC